ATCACTTGTTATCAAATCAAGTAATCCAGTTCAAGAGTTTTTGGGTACAAATAAATTAGAAGCACCGTACAGTACTTTTTTGGACTGGATTGCTTTAAAGAAGTTTTTGTTTTTCAAAATATCATTCTAATCTGTATCTAGTATAGACTAATAATAATGTTAGCATTCTTGACTGTGATGAGACATCAACCTGTAGCATCCTTTTTGAGAGATCGACAGTGATGTCATCAGACCATAAGTACTTGGCGACTTTAAATAAGTTAGGAACTAAATTAGTAGGTTTTGAATAAAGTGATTTAATATGATGAAAGTTCCTCCTCCTCCCCAACCCTCCCTCTCCCCTAGCCCCTCCTCCCCCTCCTCCTCCACAACCACCACAATCACCACCACTATAGCATAAGACAATGTTGTAAACACATCCTTGTGAATCCCTCTATTCTTTTGTATAGTGGAAGAATCTCTGAATTGGAGAATTCTACGTACTCGTGTGCTCCCATTACTACTTTAATTTCTTAAAATGTCTATCTTAACTTCACGAATCAGGAAACTTCGATCTTTTCCCCAACCGTATGTGACTGACATTGTGTGTACAACTTGTGTACAAGAAGAACTTTTGCATTATAAAACAGTTAGACAAATTCTTGTTGTACACAACTTGTATACAACTTCCCTATCTAGTTGCATGTGTACACAAACAATTTATTTGAGAAAAGGCATGATTTTATACCAAATTGATTGTATGCACAGACAATAATGTACAATTTGTGAACATGTTTTGATTTGTGTGCATGCACCAAGAATAACTCAAATCATTAACGTACGCGATTGTTTATTTAACTTGGTCAAAAAATGAAACTGAATTCAACCAAAAATTGATCAAATGTTTACTGTATGATTTGCAGAAAAGAATAGCATTAATTAATTATAACTTTGTGGTTTCATTCTATAATATAACAAATCGAGATGAAAATGTAATTTACATTAGGGAGGTGTTTGGTAAATGGTGTTTCAGCCGAAAAATGATGGTTTGATCACTTTTAATGTTTTCTATAAGTGAAAAAGCTGTTTGGTAAATAGCTGTTTGGCACTAGCGTTTTTGGACGGAAACACTGATCAAAATGAAAATGCTGCTAAAAGGAGAGTTTTGTGTTGGCGTTTTGAAAAATAGCATTTTCTACTAATTATATGCCCAAACAACTAAATTACTAAACATATTCTGACAAACCGGTGAATTCCAAACACGCCCTATATCCGAGAAGCAGTTCGATCTAAAGCATGATGTTAACGGGTTATGAAAGTGATTATATCTATTATTCATTAATAATGAATAAAATTTGTCTTATTTGGGGCTAGCAATTATATACTATTTTCCTCTCACTAACATTTGAACAATAAGAGCTGGGGCGAAGCCAGAGGTCAGGGTGGTCAGCCGACCCTGCTGAAAGTTTGAGAGTATAGAGCTCTGAAATATCTTTGACCTGATATATTATGGCCATCGTAAGTCATTACGAGTAAAAAGTTCTGACTTTTGCAAAATCAGAATTATCTAAAATATAAAAACAGCAAAATTTGATGCATACTATAGATTATTTTCCCAAATTCTAAAAATAGGGTGTAATTCACTCAATACTTACGTGACACGAGTAAGAAACAAAACAAAAACAATCTATCTTATTGCTACGAGTGCCTATTTATCTAAACTACATATGAAACATTCAACTCAAACATTATTTAAAAACGAGCCATCATTTTCATTCTGTATGCAGGTTGAGATTCGACCCCCTGATCTGTTTTTCTGGCTCCGCCACTGAATAAGAGATGACACAATTACTAAGAAATTTGAGTTTATGTGATTGATATTGAATTAATAAAGCAAGAATAATGTAAGAATGATTTAGAGTGACACAAACTTATCAAATTTGATATGAGACAATTTTACTGAGATTTTTTAAAATATAAAATTAGACAATCTTAATTAGACACAACTTCTAATATAAGTCTCTTTCAAAATTATGAAACAAACATGCTCGGCCGTAATATGGCGTGTTTAAGGACATTATTATATTCAAAATTTCCAAATATGCGATGAAGTGTTTATAGATTCCAGACAACCAAGATTGACTCGGCCGCACCCTTCTCAAATACTCGAGTATTTGAAAATAAAGGAGAACTATCAAATAAGTCCTCCAACTTACACAAAAAGTGCAAATAGGCCCCTTTATAGGAGGCTCTTTTCAGCCATCTCCATTTGGAGCGGTTTCCTGTGGAATTTTTTGATGAAATTTTTTGAGCATCTTATTCATTAGGGCTAGTTTACTCATACCAAATTTCAGCTAAAACTTCAACCGAGAAGGCAGTCAAATGATTTTCTGAAATATACTGCGTTGTTTAACTACGTAGTTATCTTCACAAATTCATTTGAGTGCCTTACCGATTGAATATTTAGCTGAAATTTGGTATGGGTAAACTAGACTTAATTAATAAGATGATCAAAAAATGTCATCAAAAAATTCCACCGGGAACCTTCCCAAATGGCGACGGTCAGACAGAGCCTTCTATAAGTCGTACTAAGTCACTATAATTTATATGAAGTATATACTTTTATATACATTCATTTTTACTTTATACAAAGTATATGTTAGAAAACGGAGGTAAAAAATAGTATATTATAAGGGTGTAAAAATATGGCTGGACCGGATATCACTTCTAGTCACGTATTAAATACGTTTTCTTAAAAGTTTACTATCTACCCTTATCACAGTAACCCGATTACAAGATAAATTTTTTGGGATAAAAAGAAGATGCAGAGTGTATCTTAGCTACTGATAAAATAACACCAAACAAGTGATATGTATGCAAAATGTTCTACATACTTTTGTTTTATTACTGCAGATAATAAAACAGAGCAAGGCAAGATGATAAAATTTTGAAGTTGGAAAATCGAAAAACATAAAATCAGCCGTGTTCAGTTCCATTTATAGACCATCAGAAGAAGTTAGATAAGGATGCATTCCAATAAAGTTCGAATAAAGCATCGCAGATTTTCCAAACGTGTGTGATGGTTTTAAACATCATGGCTTTTCAATAATAATAAACATTTTGATTATTTTATCAATATGTACGTAAGAGACCACAATGGATGCACTTTAAAATTAATCTAAAAATGAACATCACGATTGAACATGACCATTCCAACAATCATGCCCATTACAATTATTATTATTATTATTAAAATAAGATTTAATTAATCATAAAGAAAAGTATCGTACATAATTTAATAAATAATAATATTTGCATCCTTTAATATTTTTTAATTAGAACTCCACAACACTCAATTATAAAGAATCATATTTCTCAATAAATTCCAACAATCCTCCTCCATTTATTGAGAAATAAACGACACACAATTCTTGTCAAATTGACCACTTATCAAGACTTATGCATGAATGAAAGTGTCGTAAAGATTGAACTTTCATTTAGTGCAATATTCTTTACAATATTTCGGATCATAGTAGTAGACTAAGCTTTGAACTATATAACCTCTTTGAAATACTAAAGATATTACACACATAAATCTCTATACAGTTTCATTTACGAACTGGACACCATTAACGGCCTTATGTCCATATCCATTCATGAGGTCCAACAAGTAAAGCCGTAAACTTGGTGAATCGGCCGCAATTCTAGCTCACATAGGTAGGTCTTTTCAAACTGCGTTCTGCAATCAAACACTTTATCAAAAGATCTATTAAGACATAGTCAACCTCATTTCACATTGCAGACTCAAGCACTTACCTCGGGATGGTTATTATTCAAAAGTGCTTCAATCACAGAGTGACTTACTCATCGTCATTGAACTCAAGATCTAGCGTTGTACTAGACGTTGAGTTGTGCTTTCTCTCACTTGTGATTATTTTCTAAGGGATTTAACCCCATCCCTTTTGCCGTTTTGTACACCATGTCCCTTGGCATCGCTTTTGTAAAAGGATCAGCCAAATAAACATGTGTTCGTACAAAATCAATCACAACAACTCCAGAACTAATAAGTTCCTGCACATAGCTGTGTCTCACTCCTATGTGCCTTGACTTACCATTGTACACATGGTTATAAGCTTTCGATAGAGTTGATGCACTATCACAATGGATTGATATCGGAGTCATAGGTTTAGACCATATTGGGACTTCTCACACTAAATCCTTTATTCATTCCGCTTCTTTACAAGCTGATGCTAAAGCTATAAACTCCGAAACCATGGTAGAGTCCGTGATACAAGTTTGTTTCTTAGATGCCCATGATATAGCACCTCCTCCAAGAAGAAGTAACCACCCACTTGTGGATGAATAATCCTCTTGATTAGTTATCCAACTTGCATCTGTATAACCTTCTAATATAGAAGGTTCACTCTTGTAACATAAGCCGTAGCTTATTGTTTTCTTTAGATATTTCACCATTCGCCTCAAGGATACCCTAATACCCTAAAAATATCTTCGATTTTTTGTCAAATAAGTTAAAATTTGACCAATTATATACTCCGTATATTTTTATACTATGCGCCAAATTATTTTTTTGTCAAATTTTTATACTTGTCTGATATGAACCTCAGACAAGCAATTTGATCCCCCAAAAATTACAAAAATTAAACATAATTAAATACGTAGCTCTGATGTATTCAGATGATAGTATGTACGAAGTATATAAAATATAATCAAAAATACAAACATTGAAACATTAATTGCGACCAACTATATCATATTTAAGATTTTAGATCACCATAACACGTACATGCCTTGGTCGAATTGGTTTCCTGTTCAAAATTCATGAATGGAATACCAGTCAACTCGTAATTAGATCATTTCCAAGAAAAAAGGGAAACTGAAAAATCAAGGGAAAAGTCCTTAATCAACACATTCATGAAACTTGACCCGGTATATGGTCAAGACTTGATCGTCTTGAAATCTTGCTATAAATAGATGCAACTCTCCACCTTGCTTCTCAACTTATCATTCATTACATTCTCAAGCATACCATATACAGAGAAACTTCAATTCATATACAATATACTCCGTATATTAATTAATTAATTTCCCAGTGCGTATTTTGATTATTAGCTAGATATAATAAATGAGTAAAATGTTGAAGATAGAGAGAAGACCTTCACAGATTCAAGCCCCCACATATGGGAATCTGGTTACTATTCTGAGCATCGACGGCGGCGGCATACGAGGAATCATTCCTGCTACTATTCTTGAATACCTCGAATCTCAACTTCAGGTCTGTCCTTTTTCCCCCCCACCCAATTAAAGTAAATTAAAATCCAAATAAATTTGACTCAGTGTATATATCTCATACGGAGTATATGCTAGCTAGCTAGATGGTAACAACTGTTTATTAAAGTATATTTTGTCAAATTTTGGGTTAAAGATACTTCTCTACACTAGTTGTTAAGTAAATATGGAATAACAATGTAGTACTAGTATAGTTATATATTAACATTAGGGGAAAATAATTAAAATATCTCAAACTTTGAAGGGGTGTGAGCTTAACACCTCAAACTTTCATATGTAATTTAAATATCCCAAACTTTATATAAAAAGTTATTTTAGCACCATAGCAACTATTATTTCTTTCAAAAATGTAAAATTCATGGTGTTAATTACATAATTTAAAATATTTTAGAATTCATGAAGACACAATTGACATTTTAAGTTTGCATTAGAAAATAAATAATCTTACCCTCAATCTATATAATTGCAACACTTTTAATTTTCTATTTTTAAATTATGCAATTAACCACATAAATTTACATTTTTGAAAGAAATAATACATAAGAATGGTGCAAAAATAACTTTTTATTTAAAGTGTAGGATATTTAAATGACATATGCAACTTTGGGGTATTTACTTCACACCCCTTCAAAGTTTGGGATATTTTTATTATTTTTCCTAACATCATGAGATTGAACTTTTGAAATAAATCTCATGGATTACCTTAACAACGTACGTAGTATTACAGTCACGACTCACGAGTCAATCCGATTGTATATAACTGAACTAATTAGTGATGATTATGACAATTAAGCTCAAGAACCTAACAATTTGGGACAACAGTCCATACACTGAAAATATATTCACGGAAACGTTGAAATCCATCCCGGGAAAACGGGAAACCTTATCTTTTACAAAAAAAACAACTATTTGGAGAGTTTCGATAGAGTTTTCGAAAAGGATACGTACTCGGGAAAAAGTTTGTGTGCATGCTTCATAGAATTAGTTCATTTTTGGGTACACATTTTTATAAAATGTCAACTCAACCCTTATCTATACGGATACTACAAACTTTTTAATTAAAAGTGATAACTTTTTATACACGTGTAGTTTTGATAAGTTTATCCGACTTGCTTAATTTTTATGTCTAAAATGTAGGAAACTACTTGGGATGGTGAGAAACTGAGAATAGTTAATACAAGTAGTACTATTAACTGTGAAAGATGTTATATTGTCTAATGTCCGCTAGATATATAAAATAACAAAACAAGATATTAGGATTTTAAAATAAAGAAATTGGTGCTGGAGCCCATCCTTCAGAATGGGACAAAACTGTTGAGATATTGATTTTTGATCAGGACGTGACAAACCTAATTTCTAGCCGAAATAAATTACGGAGCATTTATATTTTGCTTATTCTTTTTTTTTTTTGTGGTGAATATTTTACCCATATTTTAATCTGTGAAGTGAACATTTCATTCCCACTTTATACTCCCCCAAGATCCCCGTGACCCGTTCCGACAAGATTTTTTGAGAGAATGTTAGTCACGGTGATTCAGTCAACCCAATAATGTTAGACTTTGTACGTACCCCTGCGCACCAGTGGTCCAGCTCAGCACGCAGGAGCTGTAACCTCCACACGGCCGCTGCGGCCTGCGGGATTCGATCCTTGGTCATCCTTCTAATTTTTGCTCAACCAACTGAGCTACCCGTGCGGGTTTCATTCCCACTTTATAAACTATATTTGGAAGCTTATGCTCATACTCAACTCTCTACTTCTTAAATTTTATTGATTCATTAAAATGAAAACAATAGTTGGTTAAATTAAAGGTTGATGTATAGAAAGAGTATGCTGAATTGTATTGGATTGTGTAGGAGTTGGATGGAGAAGATGCAAGGCTTGCAGATTACTTCGACGTGATCTCCGGGACAAGCACCGGCGGCCTTGTGACGGCCATGTTGACTGCTCCCGGCGAGAACGATCGCCCCCTTTATGCAGCCAAAGATATCAAGCCTTTCTACCTCAACAACTGTCCCCAGATTTTCAAACAAAACAGGTGATTATATATAGGTGACAACAACGATAACCATTTAAAAAATGAGATATCGTACCTTTCATTCACTTGATTGATCCACATCATTATATCATTTCAAATTTATATTTAAATAATTTAATTACAATATTCTGATCGGTCCATGTAAACAAAGGTATTACAGAGTATCAAGTAATCATCCTTATGTATATTAGAAAATTGTTTCGTTCACACTTTTTTATACACTTGTTTTTATTCACGGAAAACTTTGTCATTTTAAAAGAATGGTCTATATATTCACAGACAAAATAGGGGTTTACACAAAAAGTATAGAAAAATATATTTTTCCATTATATTATAGGTAGTACAATAAGAATTGAAGAACAACAACAATGATAATAATTCATTCTCACTTACTCTCTCCATTCTTTTTTAGTTTCAACGGTCAACATTTCACATTTGTCAACGCACGTCTTTGACCGTAATTATATCTTAATTCTATTAGTAAAAAATATTAAAAATCAGATTTTGAAAATTTGTAATGAGATGAATTGAACAATATTTTTTTAAAAAAACAAATTTCATAAAATAATAGCGTAAAATGTAGTCAAAGTAGAGCATGTAAATAGTGTAACATGCAACATGTTGTGATTAAAACGAAACGAAGGATAGCATATAGTTAGGAAATAGGCACGAAGCTAGAAAGTCAAATTAAAGTCAGTTCATTAGTTTTTTTTTTGTTTTTTTAAACCCGGAAGGTAAACATGCATATGATCATTACTACTCGTTTTTTCCTAAACTATGACTCATTCATCTTAGATGAGGAATTTTTTACCTTTAATAGGATCAAATACGTCCTATTTTGAGAATGAAGCCTAATTCGACCTAAATATTTATGTACTTTTTGTACGTCTTTATCTATGTTTTAGTTATATTTGGAGTAACGTAATTAATTTGTTTAATCGGAAATTTGAAACATTAATTTTGACATATTGTATATATAACAGAGGTTGGATGAGTGGAGTGATAAAGTTGATAAAATCAATATTTGGACCCAAGTACGACGGCAAATACCTTCATCAGCTGGCCAAGAAGCAGTTGAAAGATATCCGTTTGAAAGACACTCTTACTAACATTGTCATTCCCACTTTTGATATCAAGACTTTGCAGCCTGTCATCTTCTCCACTTATGAGGTACTTATACATACAACAATGGTGGCCTGGAGTCAGTAATGCATAATATTTTTACAGATTATAAATATTTATAAATAAGCATTTACATCAACTTTTTTATATTGGGAAAGTTGTATATCTAGTTTTCACTCATTTATAATATATTCATATTCATGATGATATATATGCAAATATGTAGGCTCAGAAATCCCCAAGTTGGGATGCAAATCTGTCAGACATTTGCATTGGTACTTCAGCTGCTCCTACATATCTTCCTGCTCACTACTTCAAGACTGAAGATACCCAAAAAGGAACATTTAAAGAATACAATCTTGTTGATGGTGGCGTTGCTGCAAACAATCCGGTATGCCGCCTATATAGTCCCCAACTCTTTAACTATATGTATACGCGATTACGTATAATATTAAGATCGACTTGAGATTTCATTCCTAAAAAAGTTAAAAGTTAAGTCTAAAAGTTGAAGTAGTCAAATGGTTTAATACTCGTAAAAGTTCAATTTAACTTTTTTACTATTTTTAATTGCCCCATGTAAAACAATCGATCAGAAACAATAATTGTATGTGTAGTTTATTTTAATTGTTTATATGACCTATTTTAGTTGTCGGTGTGATCAATTTTAATTATCTATGTAAACCAAATATGTAATGGTGTGGTGGCGCAAACTAATGGTAGAGTTGTTTGTGTGACAATGTTACATTTAATCAGAAAAAAAGTGAAAATAGGATGGAAATAGAGACATAGAGATGAAGAACTATGTGAGTAAGGAAAGAAATTTGGAGATGAAAGGATAGAGAAGATGAGAATATTGAAAAACAAAGGATGTTGTGAGGAGAAAAGGGGAGGTCCCAAAGAGAAATGAGCAGAGAATGGGTAGAAAGTGGGTATACATAAGGGCCAAAGGGGAGATGAGAGAGAAAGAGATACTCCCTTCGTTTCTAAAAGAAACTCACACTTTCCTTTTTGAGATGTTTCAAAAACAAAGTCACACTTCCATTATTTCCTTATTTGGCAAAGAAATCTACATCCAAACAGTGTCAAACAGTGTCCAAACAGTGTCAAAAAATGTCTAAAAAGTGTTTTCTATAATAAAGTCAATTTATTTCCTTAATAATTGTGAAGTCAAATTGTGACTTTTAACGGAGGGAGTATGAGATATTTTAACTATTTGTATCGTATACACAATGTGTAAGATTTATGTACAAACAATGTCTTTCTACTCCATATAACTTTTTACTTTGCGTACGTGTCTTGCACAAATACTTTGACATGATCTTCAACTCAAAGAGGTTTGAAATTGTTTAGAGTGTTTGACCCACTTATCCACCTAGCTAGTTTGGTCGGATTATTTCTCATCTCAATCATATACTTCCTCCTTACTTCCTCCTTCTCCTTTTAGTTGCAACGGTCAACATTTCACGTTTTTCAACGCACAATTTTGACCGTTATTATATTTAATTATGTATTAGTAAAAATAAAATAAAAAACAGATTATAAAACTTAGTAATGAGACAAATTTAACAATATTTTTCAAAAAAAATAATTCACATACATGAATAAATAAAATGTAGTCAAAGTAAAGTACATGAATAGTGTATATATTCCAATGTTGCAATTAATGTGATACGGAGGATAGTATATAAGAGAAAATATAAAGCTAATAATTAGCAGAATTTTAGTTTAACTTTTTTAATTCATTTGACTTTTACTTCAATTTGAAACATTTTCTTATACGATTTCTTATATTTTTGGTATCAGACATTGGTAGCCATGTCCCAAGTGACAAAGCAGATATTTGACAACAACCCAGACTTCTTCCCCATCAAGCCCATGGATTACGGCCGCTTTCTGGTCATATCTTTAGGGACGGGCTCTGCCAAAAATGAGGAGAAATATGACTCCAAAGACGCGGCAAAATGGGGCATTCTGGACTGGCTGCTTCACAAAAGCTCTACGCCGTTGATCGAAGTGTTTTCTCAGGCCAGTGGAGATATGGTGGATTTGCACAACACTGTCGTTTTCCAGGCTCTCCATTCCCAAGACAGTTATCTCAGAATTCAAGTAATATACTTTCTCCCCAGGAAATTCCCTAAATAAGATTAAAATAAAGACAAAGTCATAAATATAACAGGACTAAGTTCTACTGCTTTATTTCCATAATAGGACTCATTCACTCATATTTTAAGAAAATTTTATTAAGTTATTCTTTTAATTAATATAACTTAACGAGTCTTATTTGGGAAAGAAAAAAACACATTTACTCCTATTTTGGAACATTGCGTATCTTTTAGGTTGTTTTTACTTGGATTGTAATTCATCCCAGACCAGACCAGACCAGTACTTTATAATTAATCATTTCAACAATTTAATCATATAATTTGATATTCACCTAAATTCTGAGTGTTCTCTATTATTCTATTATTAAGAATATAAACAAGAATTTTACTTGATGATATAAATCTACATATACATCTTTTCAAAAACAAAGGACTTGGTAAATGAAGTTAAAACAAAAGTGTTATACTAGTTTATTTCTTATTTGATACGGAGTAAGTTAATCCGAACAATTAATACTGATTTTATATTTTAATTAAACAGGAAGATAGATTGAATGGAACAGAATCTTCTGTGGATGTAGCCACTAAGGAAAACTTGGAAAGGTTGGTGGAAATTGGTGAGAAGCTCTTAAAGAAGCCAGCTTCTAGGATTAATATGGTGAGTGGTTGCACTGAACCAATTTCAAATGGTGGCACCAATGAAGATGCTCTCAAAAGGTAATAATATCCTTCATTTCCTTTTCATTGCACTATGAAATTTTACTCTAATTAACTACATTTTACCCTATTAACTCTACATTTTATTATTATCTTTGAAAAAAATTGTTCAAGTCATGTCATTACAAATTTTCATGATCTGATTTTTTTATAATTTTTTATTAATAGAGAACTAAATATAATTTCGATCAAAGTTGTGTGTTGGCAAGCGTGAAAATGAGAATAATATATTAATATAAAATCTAGTGAATTTAACAAAAAAAATTTAAAAAATGAAAATTTTAATATATTAAGAACTGGATGTGTTTTCGTGTGTATATATAATAACAATAATAATATAATGTTTCTAATGACTAATCATGCATATTAACGTACTGTAACCCATTTGTTACTAATATGATTTGACCATATATTCAGGTTTGCAAAGTTACTATCAAGTGAAAGGAGGCTTAGAGAAATGAGGTCACCAATCACCAGCAAAGGCTCAAACAAAGAACCTCACGCAATTAAGTCATGAGGCTAGAACAATATTGATGCAAACGACTCTTGAAGGGATAACGAAATAATTTATTTTATGAAAATAAATTAATTAAGTAAATAAAGTGATGTAGTCACTATCTTACACTGTTACATACAAGCTAGCTAAGTACATACTAGTGTCATATACGGAATACTACGTAATTTGTGTGAATATGTATTTTTTTCATTCTTTCAATTAAGTTGAGGTGTATCTTGTGTACGTGATTGATGGACATTTAGACCAATTGCTAAGATTTATGTTCATAATTTACTTTAACTTTGTCGAATAAAAATTGTTTTTATTATTCCATTTACGCACTATTAGACTCAAATTCTACAGATTTATTTTTTATTATCAAAGTCTAAGAGTGACATTAGGATGAACATAATCCAGACATGGTTAGAAAATTAGATCGAATTCATACCGGTTACATATCAATGTGGTCTTCATAATTCAAAGTTTTTATAGATTTCGGTTGTTGTGTGTTCAACTATGGACGGATATTTCAAATTAACTCTACTCTTTAAAAGATCATTGTTGAGGTTAATTCCTCGGACTCTAGGGGCCCAACACCTTCCATTGAATTTCGATGAATATGTGCAGTGGAGGACCTAGGGAGGGGCCTAGGGGGGCAAGTGCCCCCGCTTTCGATCAGGAATTTCACTACTAGTACTTAGAGTAAAATCAATGCCCTCGCTTACGGTCAAGAATTTCACTACTACTAGTTCGGGTAAAATTAGTGCCCCCAATCCGTACAAAAAATTATCAATATTAGATAATTAAGATACTAAAATGTTACGGTTATAAAAATTAGAAGTTAATACACGATATTTAAATTTGAGCTGAATTAAAATAAAAGATCTCAAAAAAGGAGAAGAAAATAGTTAAGATTTTTTTCTTTTGATAGAAAATAGTTAAGGGTTGAAAACCCAAAAAGTTAAAATGTAAACAGTAACCAAATTAATGTGCAACCATTTTAAAGTAATCTAAAACAAGTAAAAGTTTAAAAATGAAATCCACTAATAACTCACTATTACTCTACAAGGCAAAAGAGGAAAAACTTCCAAAATATAAACCTTCACGAACGTTTACACTCTGGCCTCTTTCTGGGGCTTGCCGCTGCCTTGCTAGACTACCTCTGCAGCGCCGCACCACCCAATCACCCGTTCATTTGTATTTAGTAAGTTTCTTTAGATGATTATCTTACATATTGCTTGATGTGCTACATCGTGAGAGATGTTTTTAAAAGTATTGATAATGAAACTATTATGCAACATTTTCAGAATATGAAAACTCGTAGTATTGATTACCAAAGTTGCAGAAATGAACTATATAATATGTAATTAACTACTCTGTATAACTTATGTTCACTATGAAAAAATTACAGAATTGACACGGAATTTGACACGTACTTACCGATTTTTCGTGCCAAATAGCTCGTGTCAAAATGTTTTTGGTACGGATTTGGCATTTACCTCCCAAAATCCCTGCCAAATCCCTGCCAAAATCCCTGCCAATCCCGTGGTTTTTTTGTAGTGGCTATTGCCTTACTTTTTACCATCTTTATTACATTTGAAAATTTTATTATAAAGTAAGTTTAGTGTATAGTGTGCCCCTGCTCTGACAAATCTCTGGGTCCGCCACTGAATATGTGAGTGGGTTAAATGAATATAAGGGCACATGTATTTAGCAAAGAAGAGGGAATAGAGTAAGTGGACCGAGTTCTTATTAAACAATAACGAACAATTATAGCACACCATATTGAAAGTCGAGTCGAGCTTCTAGTCTATGTTATGAGTGCAAGAGGTTAGAGTTTAACTATGACATAAATGCTACTTCATACTATTTATAATACCATGGGGTAGGTGATGGTGATTTCTGGGATCATGAGTCGCTTAGCTTTCCCAACCACCAAATCTTGCATATCTGGTTCATTTAATGTGTTTCCCCCCAATATCCTAGCTTTCCCGCTAATTATGTTGGATGTTCCGGCCGAGTCCCACGTGATTCCTGATCCAGATAAGTGCAAGGGGCATATGTCGCTCGGTAAGTGCCGAGCGCCTTAGCTGAGCCCCCCCCCCCCCCCCCACTTGACTGTTTGGCTTAAATGGGCCCCCGTTTATAGGCGACGAGCGTCGCATAGGCCCTGACAAGCTTCGGTTGCTCCTTGATCTCCTCTTCCTTATGGGCTATTGGGTCGACCCTCATCAATTGGGCCAATTACCCCTAACAATCACTTATTAGCACATCAAGTTCATAAGGTATGTGATTAGTTATTAACGGTAATAACATGTTTTATGTACTTTGAAAATATAGTTAATATGATTACTTTTTCGATGGCTTATAGGGTATGTGATATATCCATATCTTCATCTATCTACTTTTATAACTTTTTATGGTTTTCGTAATCTCTCTGAAGTGTTTAAAAGTCTAACATTTGGTTACATAATTGCTTTCCGGTTTTAGGTTTTGAACTCCCTTATGATGAGTAGGGATATGCTTAAGTTATTTTTTATGCATGTCGTCTTGCTAATCACGAGTCTTTTATAATTAATGATTATTATAAGCCAAAAAAGGAAAAAGGAAGGTAAAGAAAGTAAAATGAATAAAAAAAGTGAAGATTTGCCTAATGGGGCAAAGGAGTGATGCAGGAAGATGGCTAACAAGGAATAAACCTCCTTTTGGTCTGAGAATGTAGGTTCCTTTTCATTTTTACTTCACTGAGTATTTTAGTTTAGTTGTGTTGGGATCCCTACTTAATTGGAGAGGTTCTAGAAAATTCTAGAGCTTTCTAGAGAAGTATCGAATTTTCTAGAACGTTGCGGAGAATCCTAGAGAAGTCTAGAACTCTCTAGAAGCTTGCGGAATAATGTGGAATCCTCTGGAATATTCTAGAGATGTGTGGAACCTTCCGGAAGCTTATGGAAGAGTATGGAAGCATATGGAAGAGAATGGAGAGGTGTAGAGATTCCTTGGAATTCTCTAGAATAGGTAGTCATGTAGATCATTCTAGAGAAATATTCTCCACCACTCATTATGGAGGTGGAGTAGTATAAATAGGAGTAGGAGCCTCCATTCCTAACCATCCCAATCCTAATCCTAGCAATCCTAGCAAGAGAGAATCCACTTCCTAGAGTGAGAAAGCTAGAGAGTTAGAGAGCCTCTTTGAGAGAGAAGAGAGTTAGCTTAGGAAGGTCATATCCTCAAGCTTGAGTGAGCCACCATTGAGTGAGACAATTTTGTAACATTCTTGTAAATCCTACTATTCTTTTGTATAGTGGAAGAATCTCCATATTGGAGAATTTAAATCGTGTGCTCCCATTACTACCTTAATTCCTAAGTGCCTATCTTAACTTCACGAAGCGGGAAATTCCGGAGTCTTTTCCCAACAGTGGTATGAGAGCCAGGTTCATTTGAGGTTGTCATCAACTCGTGTAGTTCAAGATGGAGGATAGCGTCGCCCATGATGGAGACATGTTCAAGCTAAGTGCCAACAACTACTCATATTGGAAGCCAATGATGGAAGACCATTTATACTGCAAGGATTTGCATGAGCCCATCATCTACAAAGAGAAGGTGGAAGGCAAGAGTGACGCTCAATGAGAGCTACTGAATCGGAAAGCCGTTGCTATGATCCGTAAGTACATCGACAAATCCCTCTTCGAGCATGTGTCCACTTACACGAATGCTTATGAATTATGGACAAAACTTGAGTCCATGATTCAAAAGAAGACACCTCGTAATAAAGCCAATTTAGTTCGACGGTTGGTGAAATTGGAGTATAAGGATGGTCAAAGTATGATTGAACACTTGAATAACTTCAAGGGGCTCGTAAATCAACTAACAAAAATCGAGATGAAGATTGATGACGAGTTGAAAGCCCTTCTACTCCTTAGTTCCTTGCCAGAAAGTTGGGACACACTCGTGGTTACACTTAGTAACTCAGCTCCGGAAGGAAAGCTAACCATGGACACCGTCAGTGATAGTCTTCTTGGCGAAGAATCAAGGAGAATGGAACGAGGTGAGTCTATGCATCCTGAGGCTAATGTTATCGAGAACCGGGGTAGGAATGAGACTCGTGGACGCAGTAAAAGCCGAGATCCGCAACAATCTCGAGGTAGGTCCAAGTCACGCTCGAAGATCACATGCTACTACTGTGGAAGAATGGGCCACAGGAAAATGGAGTGTCGATCCTTCAAGAGAGACCAGAAGGCCGGTAACGTCAAACCAGACCAAGTCACCCCAACGAAGAAGCAAGAAGAGAAGAGTACCATTGCCGTAGTCGCAAAAGAAGATCTGCTATATCTCGTTGGAGAAGGTAATATCCTAAACATTGCTTGTGATGATAGTTCCTGGATTATCGATTCTGGTGCTTCGTTCCATGTCACTCCCCATGGAAGTTTCTTCTCATCCTACCAAAGTGGTGACTTCGGTACGGTTCAAATGGGAAACCAAGATAGGAGCAAGATCGTTGGGATAGGAGACATCGTCCTGACAACTAGCACCGGATGCAAGCTTGTTCTCAAAGATGTGAGGCATGTCCCGGCCATGCGCCTCAATCTTATCTCCGCCGGAAAGTTAGATGATGCTGGTCTGATGAATTACTTTGGTGAAGGAAAATGGAAGCTCACCAAAGGAAGTCTAGTCATGGCTAGAGGAAAGAAGGAAGGATCGTTGTATGTGATGCAAGCTAAGCTCTGCAAAGGAGAGGTAAATATAACCACTGATGACATGGAAGTATGGCATAAACGACTTGGTCACATCAGTGAGAAGGGCCTTCACATACTTGCTAGGAAACAACTCCTCCCGAACGTGAAAGGTAAGTCACTTGATCCTTGTGCACACTGTTTAGCTGGAAAACAACAAAGGGTTGCTTTCCAAAGATCTTCTCTGCCCACAAGGAGAAAGAACATCTTCGACCTTGTACACATCGATGTGTGCTCAATGTCCGAGAGATCTATTGGTGGTGCGTTGTACTTTGTGACCTTCATTGATGATCATTCAAGGAAGGTATGGTTGCACCTGTTAAAATCAAAGGATCAAGTACTTGACGCTTTCAAGGAATTCCACGCTCTTGTAGAACGTGAGACAGGAAGGAAGATCAAGTGTGTACGATCTGACAATGGAGGTGAGTATAGAGGTCCCTTTGAAGCCTATTGCAAGAAATATGGCATTAAGCTAGAGAAGACTCCACCCAAGACACCACAATTGAATGGGCTAGCTGAGAGAATGAATAGAACTATTGAAGAAAGAGTCCGTTGTGTGCTCTCTCAGGCTAAGTTACCCAAATTCTTTTGGGGAGAAGCTATAATGGCCG